GTTTACTTTTGCCGTATTTGTAACAGTTATCATATATATGTACAAAACGGCTTTAGTGTCGGTAGCTATTCTTTAAAATGCTCTCATTTCTCATGAACCAAATCGTTATAGCTATAAAAAAGGAAAACGTTTTGACCTACCTCACATTATTCGACAACAGACCCGAATCCTTTACTGTCTTTAGCGAAACGATATTGCGTGACAAAGAACTTTGAGACGCAGGTTATACCGCGAAGACAGATACCATTCCGAAAAAGACACTCGCGCGGCGCCTTCTGTAACTATAAAAGCAAAACATGTAAATAATCAAATCGTTAGTTTCACTGACTTATCCGCTAGAGCGATTATGAAAACGTAACACTAAAAAGAATATTTTCCACAATGGACTATGAAGTGGTGGGCTGTTAAAAGTCTCTTACTTTCTACGAACGCCTGCTTACACGTTTTGAAATACGACTATGAATTCCTTACTTGTATCCCTAGAAAAATGACATTGAGGGGGAAAAAAGCGCTAATTCGTAGTTTGAAATGTCATCCGTCCCTTCCCTCCACCCTCTCAGGGGCCGCAGTATGGTGGCCCATTATTATGATAGAAAAACTAACTGGAAATGCCTGTTTTATTTAAGAAAATTGAAAACATATTTTGAAAAAGACCAAAATAAATAAATAAATATACATAAATATAAAAATTAATTAAAATAAAAATTGAAAGATGGAAATTAAAGATTAAATTTGAATTTAAAAAATAAAGAAACAAAATGAAAATGTAAATAAATTTCAACCAAAAAAAAATAATAGAAAATTTAAATTAAATAATAATAATAATAATAAATGAATTCGAAAAAATAGTTAAAAAAAAAACAACATATTAAAATCCCTTAGTAGAAATGCAAATTAATTTTTATTTTGCTGTGATAACGCTGGGCCGAACTGAAATCACAATAAATTTCTTTTCTCAAAATGAAATGTCGTAAAGTGACCCATCGTTATCGTAGCCTGCGACACGTAAGTACAGTGGAGAACCCCTCGTTACCAGGGCCTCTATCTTTCTCTCAAAATTATGCCAGTTCGCATTCGTTGCTCAGACTGGGAGAAGGACCAGCAACTAAAGAGCGATCTTCAGCGCTATGTGTTAGAAAATTATTCGACACAAGAGATACTAGATTTTGCTAGTCGCGACTACCCTGAATATGCATGGAGTCTACCCACACTCAGTAGGAGATTGAACTTTTTCGGCATCAAATACATTCGTTATGAAACGAGTGTAGAAGATGACAAAAAGGCTATACAGGAGGAAATGGAAGGCCCAGGGTGTAGAAGGCCTAAATGTAATAAAGGGTAATAAACGGTCCTAAATGTAATAAAGTCGGAAAATGTAATAACATTTTTGCCCTAAATGTAATAAACTCTTAAGCTGCCAATTACAGTAATTACTCGAATAAGCCCCGCCCTCAAATAAGCGCCGCATTTAGGGGGTGGGGGAGTTAATTAGCGCCGCGGCGCTTATTCGAATAAATACAGTACTCAGCGGTATTGCTATGGTATTAAGCTCCGCTCTCAAATAAGCGCCGCGTTTTTGGAGAAAGAAGTTAATAAGCGCCGCGGCGCTAATTCGCGTAAATTCGGTACATTTCCTTATGCGCTGTGAAAAAAATTACAAATAAATTGCTTGTAAACGGAAAAGTAACAGTATTTTTCTAAAAACAGCGATATTTAAGCAATAGAAAACTTTTTTCCTGTGTTTGAATAGCCTGATATAAACACTCGAGGGGTTGGGAGATTATTTGTAAACGTTAAGTTTCACAGTGCATAAGGAAATGTACCGAATTTACGCGTTTTGGCTAAAATATTGTCATAAGTACTGGAAATTTCCAATACTTTCTGGTGAAAATTTGGATTTTTTTTCCTTTTTGCTCTCAGTATTAACAAAATTCGACCCCAAATTTGATCAAAGAGAAAACCCTTTATTCAATTGTTGACTGAGTACTCAGTAGGGGCTCATTGGGTTTCATGAGAACTTGAACACAAAGGAAAAGACCAGCAGGTACATGCAAGTCACAGAAAATTTCACTTTTAATCAAAACTATCCAGCCAGATATGTCAAAGTATGTCATAGTACGCATGAAGAGGGTGATTTTTCAGTAAAAACTCGTAGAAAAAGCTTATTGCTTTGTCAAAATGGCTGGTCGGGCCGGCCAGTTCTGACTTTTGCAAGGTGCAGTTACTGTAGTTGGTCCCTTACAAGAGGGATTGTAGAGAGAGCTTTGTTTATAATTCAATAGTCTATGAGTTAGGACTACAGAGGGTTTTGCTCTATGAAGTCAATCAAGATCCTCAAGGCCTAATCTTTTTTTCGGTTTGCATTGAGGTGATCAGTAAATATCTCAGGCTGGACAAAGGAACTGAAACTGGGCACATGCAACCATTCATGCATTTTTAAGACAGGACCAGGACAATGAGCCAGAAACAGTGTTTTATGGACCATCAAACAACAACGTAAAAACAGAACAGTATTTTACCATATTTCCAGAATCAATATAATCAATAAAATAAAAATTACTTGTTTGATGCCCATGTAGGCTTTTCTTAATTATCATGTTAATAGTTTTAGATAAGAAAACGAGATGTATGCTGTAACATTTGAATCTTCTCCATTATTTTACAACCAATGCAGTCTGTGTATGAATAGCAAAATGCCTTATACTACAGGGTGCAAAGAAAGTCACTTGTACAAAGCTGTAGCTAGGCAGCAACAATTTTCCAGTGAATTAAGCCTGGCAGTCAACCTGGCTTAAAATACCTAGGAAGAACCGTTAGATAATTATTAATTAATTACTTGCTTTATCAATGCATTGTAGTAAGCTGTAATGAGAGCTTCTGGACTCAGACTTACTACCAAGGTATTTCTAAGATTGGTTTTACCTGAAGATTGTGCATGCATATCATACAACATCTAGTCTGTAATGTAACACTGTTCTTGCAGATTTCACTTTGTGAGATGAGCTTGAGAAAATTCAGTTCACGTGGAATTATTAGGAATTTTCAATTATTTGTCTTTACGTTCTAAAGTAAAGTAGTTCGAATTCTCAGGAAAAACTTCGCTTGAGAACAGAATTCACTTGCCCAATCACAAAATCCGCTAACTCCGGGCTATCAGAAAAGACTTCCATTGC